TACATGGACAGTACTGAACAGCATATCCTCGGCCAGCATTCGCTAACTTTGTAGGAAACATCCATCGAACGTATTGTGTTTCTAAAGATTCTTCCATACTGCGCACATTCAGTGATTAACGTGGATGACAGAGATCATCGCAAGAAGCGTTATTAATTGTAGTAACGGGATTAAGTGAATCCTGCTGAGGCAATTGATTCGGAACGGAAAAGCATCATGGTGCGGTGAAAGAATTTGATAGCAGTCCATCGACCATTTTAGGAGATGAAGAGGAAACGACGCAACATACCTGAGAGCTCAACGAAAGCGGATTAGACCTCTGAATGATGAAAACGACTAGAAGGCAATGTTTCTGTAGTTCAAGGACATTTTGTGCTTGACAAATTCCAGTTGGTGAGTCACTTGTGTGATAAATGGAACTGCGTTTTACTGAGATGATGGACAGAGCGAGACTCATGCAAAGATTAGGTGACTCAGGCTTTCTGGGAGCTGTGAGATGGCAAAGAAAGCAATCCAAGAAGAAGAAAAAGAAGAAGCTGTTGTTTCGGTTTAAAAAGCAAATGAACAGCGACTACAAGAAATCAGAGACATGGTTGCTTCATACAGCGAGCACAACTTGCCAATGTGACAGGAAAGTTCTATCAGTCGTTGCGTCATAGGCAGTGCTCAAATTTTCGGGGAATTACCTTACTGAGCCGCCTCGTGGAAAAAATCCATGCAAACGTGTTGGTGCAGTGAGGTGCAGCCGAATTGCTCACTCCAACACACAGACGCATATGGCTTTCGTTCAGGCCCAAGCATCTCTGACCACCTCTTCGCCCTACGACTGTTGTCAAAAAATCGAGTTAGTTTTCGCGCATCCGGTTTACGCGCGCTTTGCATATCTGGAGAAAGCTCATCGTCAGATCCGTGCTATGCACAAGTTGTGGGCTTGCGAACAAACGTGTTGAATCTCTGTGGAAACGTGTCGAGACTTTCTAGCGCTGGTAATGGCCCCCGCTAAGGCTGGGTGCTGTCCCGTCTCTTGTTTGTGTTATGGATGGATATTGAACGGTCAGGTGCTACCAGGGCGATGAGTGTCCGCATAGGAGTTGTCGAGAGGAGAGGTTGCTGTCTGCTCACATCCTGGTTTTAAGACATCTTTCGAAAGTGATCCGCAGCGCGCTCTGGAACGGTCCGTGTAAATGTTCTAAGGTCAAACGCCTAATGAATTCTCATCCTCTTGCCCGCCGTGCTTCGCGCATAAACGGAAATCAGTGAAACAGGCTGAGACGTTTACTCCCGCGCCTCGGCTAGTGTTTGCTGGTAAGTGATTGATCGGTGAATTGAAACGACAGCGGTGATATGCACGAACTCGGCTTAACGGTTGTGGTTAGACAAGGCAGAGTCTGAAAATGAACCCGTCTCTGTTCAAATCGATTTTCATCCTCATGCAGCTCCGCCATGAAAATGCGTCTAGGGTCATGTCTGAAAAGCTGTGACCCGGGTACAGGCATC